CTTTTGGTGAGGTCCATTCCCTAGGAGCAGCACAAATATGACAGAAGTGGATTTCTGCTGATCTAGCGGAACTTATGAACACACGTCGGCTGATGCCCCGACTCCGAATACCGTAAATACCACCGTGAACTGAACGTGAACTTACGAAAGGTGTAAATAATGGCCTTGAGGCTTACATCTCCAAACGAGCCAAATATAGGAACAAGGCATTTTGTGATGGTTCCAGAAATACAGAAATGAAGTAATTAACTTAGCTCAACCCCAGAGCTAGTTTCGACGCAGTAGTAATAACACCCGAACTAAGCAAATCAAGTATTTATCTCTCGAGCGCAATTGTACAGCTTATTGTCAACAATGTAATAAACAACAGTAATGTGAAATAGGTTTAGTGACAATCATCACCACCGTCACAGCTTAAAGTTTCCGCGTTGTTTATTTCTGAGGCGTTCAGACAGTCGCAACTGTGGTGGTTCGTTCTCAACAGCATCTTCAACCGAAGGACTTGAACCTGGAATAGACTCAGAAACATCGGTATTAGTAATAGGCACTGCAGGTTAGGGACAGGTAAATTATACACAAGTTGATCGATGTGTCTACGATGGACAGATCCATCATCTAAATCGAGTATGCGACACATTCGAGTACCCAGGTTATTGAGCACAATTCCTCGAGATGATCGGAGGTCATTGCCACGATGATACACAACTTCAGCTGATTCCAAACTAAGCATGTTGGTTCGGAGAACACGGTTTTTGAACAGCTTAGCTGGACTGCTCCCAGTTGTTGAGTGGTCAGAATTTCGATACTGCATCAAGAAGTTATCCACACCATTCTCCAGTTCTTCAAAATTAGATGGGTTGATAGACTTGATCGCACTTTTCAGAATAAGCACGGAAATTCTCAGTTACATCGTTGGATTGAGGATGTCTTTGTGCAGTGAACAGATGTCGACATTCAACTTTTTCAGCCAGTCTTCAAACTTCTGCGCAGTGAAATGAGTGTCCCTTGTCAGTGACCAATGCAAATAGTGCCCTTTTCCCGATTGAGGGTTTTTTCCAGTGCAATCATGGTGTAGTCTGCATTTACTGACGGCGTAAAATGAACTTCTGGTCAACGTGATTATGAGTCATGGATCACTGAAGGCATAGCATTTATCCGAAAATGGACCAAAATAGTCAGCATGTATTCGTTGCCAGGCTTCACAAGTCATTGGCCAAGGTGTCCACTTGATGGTCGCGATTGCGCTTTGTGTACACACTGAGCACAACCTTTAGAAATGTTACATAAATCAGCATTCAATTCTGGCCACCAACAAGTCAGACGAGCCAATGATTTCATCTTTTCAATTCCCAAATGACCGGAGTGTCATCTAGTACCGCGGATCGTAATGTGGGAGGAATAACAATTCTATCACCAAGACACAATAATCCATCGGGAGTAACAGAGAGTTCATCTCGACGTTTGTAGAATTCAAGAAATCTTCGCCGGACACCGCAGTTCCAACCAGTACGTAATGAAGTAAAAATTGCATGGTAGTATTTTCGAGTGTCACGAATCAAATCAGAATGAGAAACTGGTCTGAAGAAGGTGTTTTGTAATGGCGCTGACGGCACAACCGACCCCCGAATTCAAAAGCCATTTCGGTATGTGTTCGTTAATGCGTGTGTCGAGGTGCCTTCTAGTGCTACCGACGTATCTGCTTCCACATACACAATCAAACGTGTATGCAATGTTGGATTGGGCGAAAAGAGGCACCAGTCCTTTCTAGGTGTAGTTGGAACACGGGTAGTTTCATCTACGTAGACCAGTCGGGCGGTGTTGTAGGTACGTTTGAGCGCTGCACCTAAACGGCGTTTTATCCAAAAGTATTCCACGCCACAACCTACGCGTGTTAGACCAATTGCTGTGGTCTCAGCTATGTATTGTGCCTGTTTGCTCACCTGATTGGGTTAGAATGCGTTTCCGTTGGGTAAGCTCTATTGGTCTGTACTATGAGGCTTGTTGTCGGGTCCACACCTCCCACACGCACTGTGTCTGTTTGGCGGCCGTCATTGTGTCCCGCGTGGTCTAGCGGTTAGGATTCCTGGCCTTCACCCAGGCGGCCCGGGTTCGACTCCCGGCGCAGGGAGGCACAGTTTTCACTGTATCTCACTACCCGCAATCATCCAACAATCTGTGATTGCACTTGAGCGAAGTCAACCACCCTGTCTGTCTGTCAGGACATTTGGGTGATTACTGGCTGTTTCCTTGCTCCCTCTCTCGTTCAAACTGCATCATGACATGGTTGTCACGGTGATGACTCTTTGTTAGTCAAATTATCAACGTTAATACGACAGACGTGACAAGTTGTGATTTTCAATTTGCTTACCAACTACCATCTAGTACTTACAAATAATTAGAATATTTCCCATGTTAAATGAATGTCGTTGTAGACTACTGGAGCTTTTCTACGAATAGAACCGTGGATATTCTCTGGAATAGTCAAACTTGTAAGTAGTAGAATGGTGTTGGTAAGGCAAATTGAAAATCACAACTTGTCACGTCTGTCGTAATTAACGTTGATAATTTGACTAGCAAAGAGTCATCACCGTGACAACCATGCCATGATGCAGTTTGAAGGAGAGGGAGCAAGGAAACAGCCAGTAATCACCCAAATGTCGTGACAGACAGACAGGGGCTGGTCCGCTGCATTTGTTTTGTTGTGGCTGCTCGTTTGTCTCTATCGGCGCTCAAGGTCGCGTTGCGGTGTTGGCGACTGGTCATATTAGTTCTTGTCCGTCGCTTTTCTCTCGCGGTGGTTGCCGGGTGACATATGGAGGCGTGCCGTACCGGTGCGCGTGTCGGCTTAGTGTCTGAGGCAATGTCGAACTGGTGGCGTCGTTTCTGTTTGCTGGAGGCGTGTAATGTACGACGTCTGGGAGCCAAGTGTAAGGCAGTAATGCTGAATGTGGTGACAGGCCTTGGGGGGGTGTGTTTCAGTAAGACAGACAGGGTGGTTGACTTCGCTCAAGTGCACTATAGTTTGTTGGATAATTGCGGGTAGTGAGATACAGTGAAAACTGTGCCTCCTGCGTTGGGAGTCGAACCCGGGACGCCTGGGTGAAGGCCAGGAATCCAAACCGCTAGACCACGCGGGACACAAGGAAGGCCGCCAAACAGACACAGTGCGTGTGGGAGATGTGGACCCGACAACAAGCCTCATAGTACAGACCAATAGAGCTTACCCAACGGAAACGCATTCTAACCCAATCAGGTGAGCAAACAGGCACAATACATAGCTGAGACCACAGCAATTGGTCTAACACGCGTAGGTTGTGGCGTGGAATACTTTTGGATAAAACGCCGTTTAGGTGCAGCGCTCAAACGTACCTACAACACCGCCCGACTGGTCTACGTAGATGAAACTACCCGTGTTCCAACTACACCTAGAAAGGACCTGGTGCCTCTTTTCGCCCAATCCAACATTGTATACACGTTTGATTGTGTCTGTGGAAGCAGATACGTCGGCAGAACTAGGAGGCACCTCGGCACACGCATTAACGAACACATACCGAAATGGCTTTTGAATTCGGAGGTCGGTTGTGCCGTCAGCGCCATTACGAAACACCTTCTTCAGACCACGTATATTCCAACCTTACCCACAACCAGCTAATCTGTCTGTGGTGTCAGCGGTATGTTGTGCCCGTTCGCTCACCCGACTGGTTTTGGGTTAGCCCCTTCGGTCTCGACTACTGATTTTGTTGTCGGGTCCACACTGCGAGCACGTACTGTACACATTGAACCTTGTCGCCTTGTCAACAGATATCAAGACTCGAAAGTTGAAAGCATGGTAGCAAATGTTGCGTCATCACGCGACCTCTGACGTTCCAATCGAACGTGATCTGACTCAGTTTGGTCTGAATTACAGTAGTCCGTATGTAGACCGTATGTGGGCTTGTATAATAGAAACGCATCGATTTGTTAAGTCATCCCCGAAATTGTTGTATTTTGAACCGATGTTAGGCGTGACCGAGTTATTTAATACTACTAGTCAGGCATGCTTCCTTGTGACTAATGCTCAGGTTGACTCTGCGTCCTA